GGGAAGGGGGTGGAGTGTGCTTCAACAGGAGCACACTACGGCGGTGGAAACAGAAGTATTGGTGAAAGTGACAAATGGAAGAAAGGAAGGATCAACCGCTCATAATGCTCAGACAGCGCTGCGATTCAATTGATGTTGCGGTGTCAGTTTAAGGAATGTTTAGAGTGTGGTAAGACCCTGCACAATATAAGACAACAACCATTCGGTGTATTCTGAACCACTGCACGAGCTGCTCGCGTGATAGCCTGACGTGGGGGTGGGTGGTAGGGTTTGTGGGGAACCGTAAAGGGCACTTTAACAAGAGCACACCGCTGCTCCAGTGAAAGCAATAAGTTGAAGAAATGAGGGACCCACCGCCAGCAGAGTTTCGAACCTTTTCATGTCGTGTTATCGATTTGAGCTAATGTTTTGATTGCGAAATCACCATTTTACTTTCGAACTTTTGATTACTGATGAAAACGAATAAAACGGGAGTATGAGAAATGTACAACTGACACGTAGCCCAAATATGAGCATCTGCAATTTTTATGCGACATAATCGAATGGATTGCATGATAACAGAAATGGTAAGCGCTGATCGGTAGGCGTTTCAATACAGGTAATGGAAGCGAGATTTGACCATTCTGAGCGATTCATATTGCGCTGTATTGAATGAATGTGCTTTCTATCTATATCTCGGATCTATGTGTTGTGTTATGGCCCAAACCATCACCCCTTCTGCAACTATAAGCGTCGACTTGGGTGTACAGAGTCCGCTGTTGCTCTATCTGTTACGATTCGTTCAATGCACAGCAATATGAGCAGCTCAATGAATGAACAAATCCCGTTTACATTATTAAGTGCACCTGGGAAGACACCAGCCCGGCGAAGGCGAGCTAAAAAAATAGAAGGAGAACAGCTCGGCGTAATGCGCTGCGATGCGACTGGTTTGAACGTACAAAATAAAGGTTATCAGGTTCTAATTGCTCGATTTGTATAAATACATGCGACGGAAAATGGAGCAGCGAAAGCGAGATCTGGAAGTAAGTCGCATAAATAAAAAAAAAAAGGCGAGATAGAGATAGAACATAATAAACCAAATAAAGGAGTAAAAAAAGTGTTCAGACGAGTGGATGATTGATGATTGATTGATGGAACGCGAGGAGGTGGATGCCAAGAACTTCATCGGTCAGGATTTACCAGGTAACGAGCTGCGGAGTCAGTCAAATCTTAGGAAAGCTTGCACGCGCAGATTTTGGTGATTATTTAATTTGTCCTGGGAATTTTTGGGAATTATTATGAATCACGCGAATTGGTCGCCTGGAGGGAGTAAGGATCTATTTGGCGACCGATGGGACACTGTTCAGCTTTCACAATAAAAAGTCCACCCTGTAGTGCCGTCTTTAGGAACTGGTGAATACACACTCCTTCCGCTTCTCACCAGATTTAGGAAAGTTCGATAATTCGAGCCTTGCGTCTATTGATTTTGATAGGTCTATTTTATATTAGAGAGCTCGAAGTTAGCAGCCAGAAGGCAATTATGTGTATCAGCAAACGGATAACACCTACATTTGATAATCAGCACATTTGTCAGTTGGACAACTGTGAAGGTTCATACGCTATTGTTAAGGTTGATTACCGTCGCCGGTTTTCAATAGTGTGCTTCCCAAAATGTTTCAGAGCTTCCATCACTATAGCAAGACGTCTTGCGACGCTCTTTTCATTCAGAGGTGGCGAAAAAGTAGAAATCATACGTCCGCCTGATGATCCAATTTGCTTTTATTGGCAAGCGTTTCGAATTTGCTTAACCATTTTCGAGTCGGTGTATCATCCACCCATCCAAATAATGGAGCAGATGTGGAGCATTCATAGAGAATTTGCCGAAGCCGATTGTGCATATTGGCCATATATGTGACGGATTCTCCTCTCTGGCGGTCCGTCTCTAGCCCTAGGGGTCCTTTGCCAGCAATAAACTAAACTGCCCCTTTCTCAAAGCCTTGACCGTATGACGCCTGCCTTCAAATTTTGACGACCCGCCTTCGGTGGGTTTGCCATGATCTGTCCATATAAACTGCGTGCATGACTGCGGCGCCATTTCTTGGTGTTGCTATGAAACGGCAAAATCTCGCACGTCTTTTTTTTGTAAAATGTACAAATCGACACACATTTGACTACCACCACTAAACAACTACCTAACAACCTGGGACAGGTTGATAAATACCTGAGTGAGCAACAATTTCTAATAAGCAATTACTGCAAAAGCGAATCTTTGGGCAGGTAGAGCTCAAAAATGAAAAAGAAATGAAGAAGTGAATAAAGAAAGAGCAAGCAATCCTTGGCGATCAGCAATTCGAAGGTGTGGATGTAGGAGGAACAATAGGATAATGAGAGGAAAGCAACTGTTTTGGAATACTGCAGGACCAAGACTGACTCCCACTCGAGAAGTTGGCAATCAGTCTTATCGACGCCGATTGTAGCAGTGTATACTTCACTAATCGAGGCTCTCTTGACCCACGTGTCACGTTGTGGATTCTGACCGATTTCCCACGAACAAGATTCATGATTGGCTCCATTGCCGCAGAGCCAGGAAGACTTGTGCTTTCTCCAAATTCAAAATTCAAAGTCATTTCCACATAAAAACAAACTGCTGCGTGTTCTACTAATGGCTCAGCAACACGGCACCACGGTATTTCAATTTAGTGAAGGCCAATGATTTTTGCTGCCTTCTACGCAGTTCTAGTTGCTTTAGAGTAGGTGATGGTGGTACCACTTTCAACGTTTCAAATTGTGCAGTGAATTAGTGTCCATCTCTTCCATTCACCATCACAGCATTTTGATTAAGTTTCGGATTTTGCTTTTTTAGCTTTTGACTGAACTATAAATGATATCATATAACATAATAGTTAGACTTATACATAAGCGAACTTCGGATGTGAGTGCGATACCTTCTTGCTGGGAATCCTCTTATTCTGATGCATATTGTTTGTATCACTATCCGACCGGGGTTTACATAAATGCCCTCGCCCTCCGACTGCGCCTTGTTCTCTTGAGTCCCTCAGAATTCTCCACATACCCATCTTCCGAAAGTGTGTCGGCCTTTGGCCACGTGAAGGAAAATGGATATGGGGAGGAGGCGTAGAGCATACACATTCCCTCGTTCCCAGAGTCAAGTATACAGTCAGGCACAGTAGTCCCACATCACTTTGCGAGACATTTTCTCATTGCCTGGCTTTTGTAGCCCCGTACTAGGTTTTAAAAAATTGTGAGCGAATAAATTCAATAAAACATGTGAGGACAAATTATTCATCAACCAGGATAATCACAACAAACTATGATTGGCTAAAAAGATAACAACTTAGAAGGGTGAATAGAGGGGAGGAGGTGAGAGTTGCAACAGGCCGGCCGGAGAACAACAAATGCACCGGAAACAAAACTTCTCAGGATTGTAGTTACTTCTGCTAGACCACTTGTTCTCAAGTCATGCACAATCACGCCAAGTAGCTTAAGCGTCAATAAAAAAATGTCAGATCATGTTGACTAGCAAAGACTCTCAAGAGCGTTAAGCGTCTTACGCTTCACAGAATGACACACGTTGGCCAACTTATCCACCTGTTAAGCAATTCCCATATTTTTGATTAAGACCATCAGCGCACCGATGTTTGGCGCAATGAAAAGAACCTGAAAAACATGAGTTAGCTCTACCGCTTGCTTTAAGAGTATTGTAACTATAAGGACAGGCAATCAAGTTACCTTATGTGAAATGTTGATCAATAGCAAACGCCTGCAAAAAATATATTTTGCTTGAGTTGTGCAGAGTTCGATCTACCATGATTCGAGCAGTCCTCCAGGTCTGTAAGTAGTACGTTGATGAAGCAACAAGGAGGCAATGATCTGCACTAGTTGATCAATTGTAGGTCAGGCGTACTCACGCCTTCAATTCGTGAACACAAAATACTGAGAATATTTTACTTTATGTACCACCAGTTCGGCTCGCGACGGCGCAACTGCCGGCGCGCACCCCTCTTCTGATACTGCCCGTTGCGCAGGCTGCGCGGCTCGCCGGCGCGTATTTTCTCATCTACACATATTTCTAGCTCCAACTAATATCCGCCGCCTTTTGTTATGATGACCCTTTTTTTGTCATGGAGTGTTTCTGGAACGGCGTCTATAGACAGAATTTTTTTCCGGCTCCGCCACCCTTCGAAGCAGGATCCGCCGCTCGAATTTTTTGGATCCCTACAATCCTCACTGGCGACCCTCTGCTGACCTTAGTCCACTTTTTTCCGGTCTTCGGAGTGCTCTGGGACCGTTTTGCAGATCTTTTGTCTGACTCCGCCCACCTCGGAGCAGGCTCCGCCCACAATGTTTTTGCCCCACAATCCTCACCGGGCCCCTCCTCTGCTGACCTTAGTCCACTTTTTTCCGGTGTCTGGAGTGTTCTGGAACCGAGCTACAAACTTTTAAAATGAATACCCTGCGATTTAGGGCAAGCTCCGCCCACTGTGGGCGGGTCTCAACACACTTTGAGCGTGCCCTATATTCGCCAGATATTTACATTCTACACTGAGTTTTTTGCGACTTCCAAACACTCTCGCGAACCGGGTTACTGAATTTTGCGAGACACGCACTCGAGTACGCGCCCGCCGCATTTTAGGATGTGTCTGCACTGCTCATCTGGCGAACCCCTTACTAACCTCAATCCCTTTTCGCCTACCATTCTTAAGCGTCTCCACGAAGGTAATTTATGAACAATTTTTCTGCCGGAACCCCACAAGCTCGCGCGAGTGCCGCTCCCACTGTGGGCTCGGGGCCTCCCATAGGGTCAAGGTGGCTTTTTATTCCTGTCTCCATGCCCGTACCATCCCCACTTGACGACAGGTCGTTCTCAGTCGACCAATTACATTCCGGATCAGACCAAACCTAAACTTACAAACAACTTGCAAAGCACAAACCACAGATGAACGCTGAATTATATATTATATGGGGTGATTCTTTTTGGAGGGAAATGTTTTTCATACTGATGTTCCTTCCTCACAAGAAAGCGGCGACTCAAAGGGACCGGACACTTTCATCTACACAGTTTGCTGCTTTCAGCAAGTAGGGGAAGTCCTAGCGCCATTGGAAGCCAGTATTATTGAAGACGTTCAAAAGCAGTGGGCACGATAAATCGATTAGGGGTACAGAGTAAATGTGCTTAGCAGGAAGAAGTGCCCCTAAGCAGACGCTACTTCTTTAAGATGGTCATCAAGGTGACCTTTTTTGACAAAGTCATGCTTTGGTTTTGACTCGAGGTCTGGAGTCACTCGGAATGATGTTTTTGACGATCAGGCGTTGATCACAGTCTACAACTTTCATGAATCGGAGTGCCAGTGGTAAGAAATGAATGCGTATTGACTGGAAAAATCCTCTACCGCTCTGGAGCAATCGCGAACGAAAAGAGTTAGATATCTACCGTACTCGGGGATTCCGCTCAAATAACTGGAAAACGGTCGAATTGCCACTTTCGTCTGCTCACTTCACCTGCTCTCCCAATCGAAACGTATCTAACACTTTTCCCGCGCCCGCTGGACTCGCCCGCCCAGTCCGAGATTATGCCGATACAGATTTAATCCTTTAGCAAATGAACGTCTTTCGCCAATTCCACTGGTTCAAAGTGGTCTAAGCCTGTGCAAAGCTCAAGGGCTGAGTTTTGAACTGCTTCCCTGTAAGGGCGAAAGCAATGACAGTGGCTCAAGAATAAAACTGGAGTCTGGTGGCGTAGTCTTCACCTGATCATCCACTGAGTTCTGACAGAAGTCGTAACCTAACAACAGTTCAGCAGTCTTGTTCATCTGAAATCCATCAATTAGATTCTGAAATGCTAAAATTAAACTATTTTGGGATTTTCAGAAAGCTCGCGTACCGCGTCGTGTAAAGTATTCAACGAGAAAATTTTTTAGATAGAATAACCTGTAACTGGGTTTGGGCTGGTTGCTGAAGGGTGATTGCGATCAATGCTATTCCAATATTCATCCATAGAAAACCAAGCAATTTCATCAATATGGAAGCATCGCCCATTCTGAAAAAAGCACCGTTGTTCTTGTGCCTATTCCTATGGTCATTTAATACGTAGGACGTTACTGTGGAACAGAAGCATTGATTTGTACGGTGATGGTCATCCG